TCTTTGTGTTTTCCAATGAAAAAATCTGAGAAGGAAAATGCCTCGACTAGTAATTACATTAAAACGGTGAAGAGTGGACACAATTTAATGTGGTTTGGCTTCATAAACAGAGTTTAGTCTAAAAACGTTATTGCCACGTCAGAATTCTTTACCTTTTTTTCACAGTTTAAGCTAAAAATATGGAACCTAAAGATAGATGGGAAATGTTAAACTATTCATAGCAAAATCGTTGGACAGAGGGAATGGACAACATGTTGATTGACATTAGCACTTTGATACTGACGGCATCTGTACAGCTTATACAAGGCGAGGATATCTTCAGTCTGATACATGATTATTGAAGGAAAGATCCACCGAGTACAGAGCAGCCTGGAGGAAAATGAGCCCATTTGATCAGTGTCCCTTTCTGCTTGCCCGCCTGCTCCCTCTGTCATGGGTTTGGCGTCTAAATGGCCCTGCTAGATCGTGTTCGCAGATACTTGCCTCAGATCAGAATCATTAATGTAACTTTCCTCTCTCTCTGCTCCCAACGGTGTCATCTTCCAGACATGCTGTTGTGTGTATCCATGTGTATACGTGTGTAAGTTTATACAGTTGTGTCACAGTGACATGCTATTTGGAGGCCTTGAGTTATACGTTTGTGTGGTACCTGGGTGTTATACATCTCTGCATGGATGTTCCCTGCCTTTGTGACTCATGATCGTGTGTGTGTGTGGGCTATGTCTTTATTTTTTAATAAGGGTGTATGCAGTGTCGGCTGTCAACTGAAAGACAGCCAGTCTGATCCCCAACCTAAGGGAAAGAGCAACCTGCCATCAGGTGTCCGTCACCTTTGCTTCACACCAATTACATCAAATACGCCATTCCTATACCTAATAATGACATGTTCAAGTTTTCTCTGTCCCTTTCTCTCCTTCCATAGCTATGGCTTCTCTTTCCTTTCCCTTCCTCACTGTGGCTCAGCTTGGTCGTAAATCTTCTCCCCTCTTGCTCGACTGTCTTTCAGGCCGTAAGTCTGACTCCATCCGACCAACTCCATCATTTTAATGTAATTGAACCAAGATTATGATCCTCTATCAGTCACCCAGACTGCCTTTATAGTGGCTGGTCTGTTTGTTTTTATTTTTGCCTATAAGGCTTCAGTGTTGCTATAAAGAAAACTGACAGGAAATTGGTCCAATTAAGTTTGGGATTACTTTTCTACAAGCAAAAGCCTTGCATTTAAATGTTAATGTAAGTACAAAAGTATTAGCATCAAACTAAGGAAACAACTAAAATACTCATTATGCAGCCTGGAACATTTTAGAATGAAACTTATTATATAATTTTTTTATATACATCTTTGATTCCTTACAATCTATTTAATGTTGCAGCTGGTAAAGGATGATCTGATTTAATAACTTTTAACATTGCTGGGTAGTTTAAAGTGTTACTAGATTCGGACATTACTCAAGATGTATGGCACAGAGAAAAACTATTGTTTATTGACGTTAATGTGCTCACGTGATAAACACATTTGCATCCCCTAAAACAAACATTTTCTCTTATCTCCATCACTAATCCTCCAACTACAGACACTCATACACCAATACAAACACATGAGAACAAAAATAGCAGTGTTGCACAACTGTTGTTTTCTTCCATGGTTTCATAAGTAAATTACCTCGTTACATGGGTTTAAAACAGCCCGGCCTGAGGGATGTTTATTTTTTATGTGTATACAGTAGAGCAAAAAACCATGAATCTAGACTAAGCTGAAAACAGAGAACTACGTGTGTTAGTTTTACAGTATATCTATCTGAAAGTTACAGAATACAGTATTTATTCTACCGTACTATATTTAGTTTTACATTCTGTCTTATCTTATTCTATCTTTTATGTTTCTATCAATATTTTTCCACATCTTACTTATGTCTATTGCAATAATTTCTTGCACTATTTTATGTATTTCCTTGTTATGCTAAGTGTATTGTATGCTGCATTGCCAGATTTGAATTGCCAAAACTATGCTGTAGCTATTGTGTATGGTGCAATAAAGCAATCCAGCCATAAAGCATCTTAATAAAAAGTCAGACACAACGATCAAATAGAGTGCACTGGCCCCGAGCAGAGCACAGTGCTAACTCGCTCTTGACAGACAGCTCCAGTAACAGGACCCCACTCACTCCCTCTGACTCATGCCCGGCCTCGTGCCCCATCACCAGGCCCGAACTCAGCCCTGGGCTCGGATGAGTCTGCGACCGGAGGCCTGTCTACGGAGGTCTACAAACAACTCGGCCTCCTGCCTCTGATGGGACAACATTTCTTTGGGAAAAGGGTATAGGTGCAAGTTTCAAAGATTCAAATATTCAAAGGCTTTACTGTCACATGCCCAGTAGCTAGAGTGTAGTTATGGAAATTAAAATCTTAAGTCCCAGGCTCCTCCAACAATGCATCATAAATGAATATAAAACATAAAACAATAAAACAAATTTAAAACACAATAAAATAGTGCACGAAGAAACAGAATACAATTGTGCATCTTGCAAGACCAATGTGCAAGTAATGCAGATGTAACAATATACATGTCAAAAGAAAATACAATAATCTAAATGTTGCAGAGAATGTTGTAAGTGAAAAAGTCAATGCAGGAGTACATGTTAATATAAATGTCTTTAGTTTGTCACTATCACAGTGGGAACCAGCCTGCAACAATCTAAAGTTATATGAAATGAGCACTAGAAAGCAAAGAGCAACAGGAGAGAGGAAACAATCCTCCAATCAACCTTCTGATACAAGGCTGACCCCTGCAGGATAGGAGGGGACTCACTGTGTGGCTGGCATCATCTTACTGTGAGTGTGCCATGCCCAAAATGTTTATTGGCAGAGTGTTAATGTGTCCAGTTGAAGCCAATAAATGATGCTATAGGGCCAACTTACTGAAACACACTGGACCAAAAAAACACTCTACTGCTTTGTCAATCTTTGATAATTAATGGCGGGCATGTCCTCTGTGTCTCTGAGTTAGTGTTCCTGCTGTGTTGTGTGCCAAACCTGTGTTTGTTCGTCCGGGGAGTCGGGGACAGACTGGCAGTGTTCGTCACGGGCCATCAGGCTCAGTTTCTGTCACTCACACCCAAGCGTCATCCACCATCCCTTTTCCATCTCAAGGTTAGCGTTCACATGAGAAGAGGGAAACACGTCTGCCGAAATCAAATCTGAGCAGCCTGTTGGCCTCCACATCAGAGCCTTAGACATCCATCAGGTGACATTTCACTTCCCGCAACAGAATCTGCAGACTAACGCAAACCTGAGTGATCTCTCTTTACTTCTCCAATGACCTTCGCCGGCTTAACATTCAAATTTAACACATCACCGCTGTCTCTATTTCAGGTTGAGCTTTCGATTTAAATATTTACCCAAGATATATTTTTGATAAAGTTTACACTTAAATGATATGCTGAGTGGCCAGTGCTAGTTTTAGTTTTTGGTCCGCGAACTTGCAACATATGGGCGATAGAAAAACAAATGCAACTGCTCTTCTTTATTTATTACATAATCTAAATAATAATGGTGGTATTAATGTAAACCATGATTGTTGATTTTTTAGTAGCAATACTATACTATTGTATAATATTTATGTCTTTCTTGATTTCTTTCTTTCTGTTCTATCCAATTGCTCCTTTATCAATGATCAAATATACATCAGTAAAAATATGTGTAATTAGTCTGTTTCTATTCAGTTATAGTTTCTTTATCCACTTAAGCTGGACCCAACACCCTGCAGAACAGAGCCACCTACACTTTACACTTAGGATATATTTACATCTCGGTTACAAAATAAAATGATTCACTGCCCAGAGTCAATTGCATCCTTGTCAATTAGGAAGACTAAACAAAGCCAGGCAGCAATAAAAATGTCCTTCCTGTGGCAGATGGGATGTAATATAATCGATATAAATGTAATCTGATGTACCTGAATGCTAAAACATTGTTGTAATATTTCATAAATGGCCAATTTCTATCACATTGCCTGGTCCACAGGTTGGATGCAGGCCTGGCTCTCTGCTCAGCTGTGCCATCAGAGCCACTGTCTGACTGTGTGATTGCATAACCTGTAAAGACCTGCTCAATAATGCATGGTCAGACTAGACATGGGCAGCCTGACGGAAAACCTTACCTCAACAACAACTCTCTTTGTTCTGCAAAGACTGGACCCTCCAGAGACAGGACTCAAGGTGTGTCTCAAGCCAGCCAATAGGAATGATAGAAAATGGGACAATATTTTTCAAATTGGGCCCTAAACATTAACCATAAACCTTTGCATGGGCCAACATTCAGCCTTTAACCAGGGTAATGTGCAACCTTTGAACAACACCTTAACAGCGCGTCTAGTTTGTTTGTTTGTTTGTATGTGTGCTACTGCTAGTATGTGTGTTTGTCTCTTGTGAAGTACAATTCCCACTTTGAGTCTTGCTGAGTGTAATGGAAACGGATATCAGGAATGGAAAAACATCCTGATACATAAAACACATTTCAGGCAAGAATACAGAAGCGCTAAACGGAAAGTGAGATAATTGTCTGATCTCAGTTGTCTAATCTCATGGTTTAAGAATAGATGGGGGAAAAGTATTGCCAGGATCATTTATGAGGTTCATAAATTCTCCATGCATACTGAAAACAAGGCAAATACTGTCATTAAAAACAACCTGTTTATATTAATTTGCACAGCATGGATCCATTTTCCTGGAGAATAACCTGAATGCTTAAAGTTCAATTGAATGCATGAGATAGTGGTTCACTTCAGCCTCTTGTGGCCAAAATAAGTATATAACCTATAACAATAACAAAAAAGGTCTATATGGATCAAAAGAAAATTAAAAAACCTAGAAATCTTATCCTGGGTCATACTGACAGTGTAGCTCTGAGATGCACTGCCATGTGTGAACCTTTTGGTCACTGCTGTTTGAAACCAAGGTCAGCAGCTGCCAATTACATTAAGTCCCTCCTCCTTCAGGAAGAAACATGCACACTACTTCCTGCAAGTTTCCTAGTACACAATATTCCTGCCACTGAAAACTAAACAAGCATGGCAACTCTCCTTCGCAGACTCGCAATGCCCGGGTGTTCATCGAGGCGGTGCTTGGGAGTGTTTCTGCGGGAAATGCACAGCCGGACTTCCCCTCTGAATCCCCGGGACGGACCGCGACTGCTGGCCGGTGGCAGTCTCCCTCTGACGGCCTACAGTAGCACACACAGCCGCTGGCAGCACACAAAGGCGGCGGATCCTCCAGAGGTGGAATTACATCGGTTAGAGGGGGAAGATAATGGTAGGGGACACACACACTTACATGTGATTCATCATTGTTCAAAGGAACAAGGATACACTCTCAATTCTGTAAACGTACACATGCACTGTTTGACAGGCACCTCTCAGTCATCCACCTGATACCTCAGTGTACTGTATCTCCTATAGGCGGATGCTGTAACTGTACACTGGATTTAAACACGCTATTAGCACGAGTGCTGGTAATTATGGGATGTTTTAATGAGAAAACGTGGCGTTGGAGATACTACAGATTATTGTCTTTACAGATATGTCCATCAATCAGCCTGTTTATTCCTCTTCCCCCCCCCAGTTTTTCTGAGCACAACATTTATGGAAATGTTGTAACTATATGGAGGTCCACTCTTGCCAAGTTGATGAATAAATCCGTTAAATTGTATGCAAAATGATCAAATAATTAGTTTCTAAGTCAGTTTTCAATCAGGGATGCAACTAAAACTTTTTCTCAGTAATTGGATATTGTCAGAAAACAGTGAACAAATACCAGTCAATCACATCAATTTCAATGTTAAACCATCTGTGTGTTGTTTCGTCAGACACTAATATAATAACGATTTAGTCATAATGTTTCTTTATCCCTCCACCTTTCTCTCTCCTGTTGCTCTCTCCTCTCAGGGATAGTGGAAGTGTTGATGTGCCGACACAAGGCAAGAAATGCTCTGGGCTATGTGTTTGTGTCACAGGTGAGCTGACCTCCACACACACACACACACACACACACACACACACACACACACACACACACACACACACACACACACACACACACACACACACACACACACACACACACACACACACACACACACACACACACACACACACACACACACACACACACTGATTGAGAAACTGTGCCCTGTGTGTGCAGATGAGGGGGTTGGTGTCCAGTCTGTCCGAGGACTCAGCAGTCCGTGTGGTTATCTTCAGGAGTTTAGTTCCAGGTGTTTTCTGTGCAGGTAAGTGTTTTTCCAGAGCACCTAAAACCTGCCATGGTTCTTTATTTTTGATCCAAGCTTTTCCTAATGACGTCTGTACGTTATGATAGGGGCAGACCTGAAAGAGAGAGCTCGGATGAACGACGCTATGTCTGATAGCTTTGTTCACATGCTGCGAACCCTCATGACTCAGATAGGTAAGAAAGTGAGCAGTTGACTCCAATAGCCATCCCCTGAGAGTACACATGAGTCTATGCATCTGTTGACCCTCCTCTGTCCTCACAGCATCATTGCCCATGCCCACCATCGCAGCGATGGACGGCGCTGCCCTGGGAGGTGGGCTGGAGATGGCCTTGGCCTGTGACCTCCGCACTGCTGGTGAGTGACCTCTAAAACCAATTCTCCCCTATCAACTCTGAACTGGAAGAGTATGTGCATCATGCTTGAGTATATTTAATATTCCTCTCTCCTTCCTTCAGGTGATGTTAATTGTGTATGAAAGGGAATGGCATGTTGTCTCCACAGCTGTCACCAGAACAGTCATGTCCGATCAGTGTTTGGGTCTCAGCAGGATGGAGAAGGATAGCATTCTCTTAGGAACATTTTTCTAGATTGACAAACGTGTAGATTACAGAACCAGTTCTTAACCAGCTCTACTGTTTAATTGTGAAATACTGGAGGATTGTACATCTTTAGGACTTGAATTCACATTTGAAATTAAACAATTAGATTTAAGTTTCTACAGTTCATATAAACGGTTAAAAGCAGAAGCTTCCATCCCCTCCATTTTTGTATTTTTTTGTTATCTACATGCTCCTTTTTATTGAGTCAGGTCAAGGTTTTTCCTTTTTTTGACAGTTTTTTGCAAATAGGTCATTATTTTAAACTCAGTTTTGAGATGTTCATCTTTTCCTGAAAAAGGCCAGTGTTTATTTATGGACTGGGGAAACGCTCAACCTTAACAAGCAGATTTCCATACTGAAATTTGAGGATATGTGTATAAAATGATGAAGACATACAGAATGTTCCATCCATCAAATGATTGACTATTTTAAATCTACTTCAAGGAAAATAAAAGGTTCAAACTCCACAGCGGTCAAGCAAAAACCAGTCTATCGTTGTTGCTTATCTCCGATTGTTAATGATTAGTTGAGTTGAGCCAAGGGACTAATGATAACCGGTGAGGCCTGACACATCTGCCCAGCTGTTCATGGAGCTGAACACATGTGATTGGTTGAATTAATCGTAGCAGCTCTATGATTGGCTGATCGGCTAAGTGAGCAGGTGTTTGCGTCTGTTGCTCTGACAGAGGCATCAGTCAGACTTTACGCCCTCCACAGCTTAATGGCACTCCGCAGCTCTGACCTTCAAACGTCCTCTGTGTGTGTGTTTGTGTTTCAGCACATTCGGCACAGATGGGTCTGATCGAGACGACGCGAGGGCTGCTCCCAGGGGCGGGTAAGACGAACACAGGTCACAAAGAAGACCTTACAAAGTGAGAAAGGAAAAGGCAAAGCAGCTGTGAGAATTTGACCTTGAGGTGTTTTGTCCTGCAGGGGGCAGTCAGCGGCTGCCAAGGACGGTCGGCATGACTCTGGCCAAAGAGCTCATCTACACAGGTGGGGTAACAGAAACGCTGACATGTTGCTGTACACAACAGGATGCTCATCTGTCAGTGAGGGCTTTGTTTATCTCACACACTCTCTGTCTGTCTGTCTGTTGTCAGGTAAGCGTGTGGGGGGGCAGAAGGCTCTGGAGATGGGGCTGGTGAACAGATCTGTGGAACAGAACGAGACGGGAGACGCTGCCCACAGAGAGGCGCTCAGCCTGGCCAGAGAGATACTGCCCCAGGTCAGAGAACAACACACACTTTCTCACTCTGCTACTGATACATCCCCTCCCTTCAGGGTCTATTCTCCTCTCATAGCTGGAGACCTATTTGTTTCTTGTTCACATTTTTGACTGGGCCTGATTATACAATAAGAAATAACAATTTTATCGGAAATGCTGTAACTATATGGAGGTCCACTCTTGCCAAGTTGATTAATAAATCCATTAAATTGTATGCAAAATTATCAAATAATTAGTTTCTAAGTCAGTTTTCAATCGGAGATACATTGATGTCCATTCTAGCCCAAGTAAATAAAGAAATACATTGAAAATTAGGAAATTGTATGCAAGATGATAATTTTGTTCAAAAGTCAGTTTTCAATCAGGGATGTGACTAAACATTTTTCTCAGTAATTTGATATATCATAAAAAAGTGAACAATGCCAGTCAATCACACACATTATTCAACATCAAAATTAGTTTCGTTTTAGTGGAGAAATTACACTTCTCACTGTGCTACTGATGCATCCCTCCTCCTTCAGACAGGGACCTGCTCTCTTACTTCTTCCTCTCTGTCTTCCTCTCTTTCCCGCCACCAATCTCTTCTTCATATTTTCATTCTGTCTTCACTCTTCCATGTGTATTCGTCCATCCTCTGTTCCCTCTCTCTAGGCCTCTGTCGCTCCATATTTCTTTCACTCCAGTTCAGATGCCCGCAGTTGGCAGGGCCAGAGTGGCATTCAAGAGTGTACACACACACACACACACACACACACACACACACACACACACACACACACACACACACACACTTGCAGTGAATGAAAGTGAGGTAGCACAGAGAACATAATGAGCCCAAGGCCTTTCCTCTTAGTGTTCATGTGGCTTCCTGAGAAAAATCTTTATAAATCAAGGGAAAAAGCTTCTACAGTCCAGTCTTTAAATGTCCTTACAGTTTAAAAAGAGTGCTTTTTAAATGGCTACTCCACAGGTTCTGTTTTTAACTTGAATAAAGTTGGCGTATTTTCAAGAGACAGATAAAAAATAAGATCTTGAGTTTTAGTGCCTTGTATGAGCCAATATCCCAAAAACTCAATCCTACATTTCCCAAAATGTCCCTGTCATTTTATTTCATCATAAATACCAACTCCTCAATTTGTAATTAAAGCTTTATGGTATAAACATTTGTATGAATTCTACATTTTATTTGACTGCAGACTCTGCATAATTAAACGTTAATGGTGACAGGTAAACAGTATGGTGCTTTATTGATACCATTATCATCTAATTCACTGTGTTCTGTTTCTCAGGCTCCTATTGCTGTGCGGCTGGCAAAGGAGGCAATGGACAGAGGCATTGAGGTATATCATGATTCATTCATTTTTATAGTGTTTCTGCATCAGTGATGTTACTGAACTGAGTCTTTCTTTCCCAGGTTGACATCACTTCAGCGATGAAGATAGAGAAGATGTGTTACGCTCTGGTAACTCTTCAAGTTTTTATTTCATTACAAAAACACTTACTTCAGATGCGGCTGACCCCAGTGATTTGTTACCGATTAATCATCAGTATAAGCAGTACATATTGTCAAGTTCTGATTGGGTTTGGTTGACTCCTGCCTAAACTTGAAAAAAGGCCTGGTTCACTCCAAAGGACACACAGGACAACTCAGTCTTGACTCTTTCCTTTTTATTTGAGATACTGTAGAGTTCTTTTAGCTCCATGCAGCTTCATTTAGCTTCCATGTTGCTCATTCAGACGTTTTAGATTAATACTTTGTAAGACTAACTAGAAATAATAATTCAATTCAATGTTTTCCATCACACATATCTTCAAACCAGATACATATATTTATAAATATTACCAGCAGTGTTTTTGGGTGAATCCTTCTCAATCCTCTCCTCTCTGCCACTCACAGTGAATTGTTTCTGTCTTTTGTCCTGAGAGTGTGCATCTCCAGGTGCTTTGCATCAGGCTCATTATATACGTGACTCTTTGCTGTTCTTTGAGCCACATCTCTAGTGGAACCACAGATTTTAGGCTCCCTGTGACCACCTGCTGGACTGGAGCCAGATTTAGAATTTGCCCTTCACTGGTGCCCTTCACTGTTTTTATCTGATATCATTATCCTTATTTTAATATTGACTTTTGTCTCGACACCTCCCACTTGAGCTTCTGGTTACTAACCCAAGGAGCTCACACCAGTCCTTCAAATCACACCTGTTCTTCAACAGGAAGTAAGATGACAAGGCGCCTGACATCCCTATGAAGAATTGTGGCTGTCCTTCAAATCAAATCAAGTTTTATTTATATAGCACATTTTAAAAACGATTTTTGGTCGAGCCAAAGTGCTGTACATGCAATAAAAACACTTTACTGCGATAGCAAAACAGAAAACAATAAATTACAACAGCAAATATAAAAATCAAACACAGGGAAATGTCATGAGTCGTACTCCGCTCTGACTAGAAGGCCAGGGAGAAGAAGTGAGTCTTTAGTGTCGATTTAAAAACCCTAGGGTCTGGGCCGACCTCACATGGAGGGGCAGAGTGTTCCAGAGCCTAGGGCCAGCTGCTGCGAAGGCTCGGTGACCTCGAGTTTTGAGCCTGGTCTTGGGCACTACCAGCAGCAGCTGGTCAGCAGACCTTAAAGCTCTGGCTGGGGTGTAGCGATGGAGGAGTTCTGCTATATAAGCCGGAGCCAGCCCATTTAGTGCTTTAAAAACAAATAAAAGGAGTTTAAAATCAATTTGGAACCTAATTGGAAGCCAGTGCAATGAGGCCAGAATTGGGGTTATGTGGTCACGCTTTTTATGGCCAGTGAGAAGACGCGCAGCTGCGTTCTGGACTAGCTGCAGGCGCTCTATACGTGTCTAAACACACGTATAGAGCGTTGCAATAATCCAGCCTCGTGGTTACAAAGGCGTTAATAACCCTTTCTAGGTCTTTAAAAGATAAAAACGACTTGGTCTTGGCCAATAGTCGTATTTAAAAAAAGCAGGTCTTGACTACGGTGCTGACCTGCTTATCAAATGTAAAAGCGCTATTGAAGGTTACTCCAAGGTTCATGACAGAGGGGAGGATGTTTTTATCTCTGTCCCTTTAGGAGTCTTGACTCTCACCCTAAGGAGGTATCTTTTTGTGTTCACCTTGATGGTCATTCCTCCTACACCATACACAATCAGAGTTATTTTTTCACCTTGCAACCTCAGCCTGTCGGCAGCCTTATGGGAGATGTCATTTGTGTCTGAGGCAAGGTCCACCAGAGTCCCAATCTTCTGCCCTGCATTTGCAGTGACCTCCATCAGCATCATGATGACAGGAATGTCCTTGTCCAAAAGCCTTGACTGTCTTCCAGCTTTGCCTGTTACTGCTGTTTGGTTGGTAAAGGCTTTCTTGCACCTTTCTGCACGCTCTGGGGAAAGTTCAGCCAAGAATTTCTCCTGCTCCTCTGTGAGTCTGCCCTTACTTCTGCTGACTTTTCCACTCTTCACTTCAAAGGGCATTTTGCTTCACCCTTGTGGACATAGAAAGAAATGATGATCTGAGGCATCTCCTTTTTTACAGTCTTTGTTCCTGCACAGGTAATTGTCTCTGCAATATCCTCATGACATCCAAGACACTTTCTGCATGCTCCTAGCTTTCTTGTCAAAACAGAGTTAGCCCTTTGAACTTCCTGCAGAAGAATACCTTGTCATAGTGCCTCTCATCTCCACACACACAATACACACTCCTCCATGCTCCTTCTTTGCAGATCTTGTGGAAGCATATTTCTTCTCATACCTCCTGTCTGGATGGTCTTGCCGATCAGTTTTATCACCGATCCTTAGCTGTTCAAGCCTCTCCAGAATCTCTTCCTGCTTTTTTAGGAATTTAAGGAGCGTGTCGAAGTGGTTGTCTGGTGTGACGTTATTTTTTGGATCAAACATGAAGACTAGCCAATCTCTCTTCACAAAGTCAGGTAACTTGCTCTCTATGGATTTGATTATGAGTGGGTTATTCATGGCGCCTGAGTTTCCCAGCTCTGCAAGGGCTTTTTCGACATGCTGTATCAGCTCAATTACCTTTCTTGGCTGGTTTCCTTTCACATAAGGGATTCTCTCCAGTTCTTCCAAGATTTCTATGGCAATCGTTGACTTATTTCCATATCTATTGTCCATTATTCTGAACACTTCAGCAGTGTTGTATGTTGAGAGTCTGAGTTCTTTTGAAATCTTGTCATCCACACTGTCTAGAAGATGCATTTGTTTAGCTTCAGAAGATCCAGATGGCTCCCCCTGTCTTTGCAGGCTTTCCCAGTCTTTCCTCCATCGGTGGTATTCTCTTCTGCAGCCATAGAAGATGGGAAGACTTGTGGGCTTAATCCTCACGACTGGTATTGCTGGTGTTGGCAGTACTCCACTTCTACCTACTGACGCTTCTGCAGCCAGTTCCTCCTCTGCAATCCTGCGTGAGGTAACAAATCCAACTTGCCTCATCTCAAGTCTATTTTTCATTGCTTTGAGGTCCTTGACTCTGCCATCTAGATCCGTCTTCGCCATCATGAGTATCCAGCGCTCCCAAGCTGCCATAACTTTGGTGGCCTCCTTCATCCGCCTCTCTAGAAGGGTCAGGAGCACCCCGTAGCCTTCCAGGTTGGTTCCTTCCACAGGCACATTCCCAGCTTGTTCACTGGCTTCTTCAATTGCAGTGATGAGCTCATATTGGCCATATCTGGACCACAGGTTAGCTTGAATAAGGCTTCTCACCTCTTCCAGTCTGGCTTCAGCCTCATTTGCAGTCCTTTCAATGTCGCCCTCTTCCTGCTTTGCAAGAGCTTCTTCTTCTTTTCCTCCGGCCTTTTGAGCATCTGCCTGCAAACCAGCCATGTAGTCATCATTGGCTTCAAGAACCCTCCTTAACCACTCTTTAAGCTTGGTGAATTCCTCCCTTAGCTCTGCCTCGACCATGCTGCTTGCCTCTCTGTTGAGGTAGTTGGCCTGCCTGGTGAAGTAGCTTTTTGCAGTAGTTCTTGCTTTCTTGAGCTCTTTAACCGTCTTCCCCAGGATATCTTCTGCCATCTTGAGCTAATGGAAATCCACAGCTTCCCTTCTCTGCGTCAACAGCTTTCTCTGGACGTCTGAAGCCTTTTATCCTCTGGGCTGCTCCGCTGGTTTTCAACTGTCAAGTTCTGATTGGGTTTGGTTGATTGACTCCTGCCTAAACTTGAAAAAAGGCCTGGTTCACTCCAAAGGACACACAGGACAACTCAGTCTTGACTCTTTCCTTTTTATTTGAGATACTGTGGAGTTCTTTTAGCTCCATGCAGCTTCATTTAGCTTCCATGTTGCTCATTCAGACATTTTAGATCAGGGGTGCCCACACTTTTTCAGCTTGGGAGCTACTTTTAATATGACCAAGTCCACATGATCTACCTACAGGGCCGCCCCTGCCCAATCTGTGTCGCGAGCGGGGGGTTGGGTGCTAGTGGACTACGAGTGCCGGAAACCTCGCAGCGGCAGATAAACTGTGGCGCGCTTACACTAATTGCACCGCATTAGCGCATAATAGCTTCAGATGAGGAGGTGAGGCCCCCTCATAAATGCATGAACCCGTATGGCACAATACAACTCAGTACATTTTTGGTAATTGTTATACCCTTTCTTTAGTATAATTGTATAAATTGGAAGGCTAACTAGGTAATCAGCTCGTCGGTGATTTGCAGCCCATGCATGGTGAACTGCGTGTTAGAAAAAATGAGATCTCAGACTGGCTTACCTGTACGACAATCAAGTGGCAAATGCCATAGTAAGGATGGATGATAGGCTAACTTAAACAATTTTTTTCCCTTTTTTTTAAATGCCATGCGATCTACCCACACTACCTTTGCGATCGACGTATTGGGCACCCCTGTTTTAGATTAATACTTTGTAAGACTAACTAGAAATAATAATTAAATTCAATGTTTTCCATCACACATATCTTCAAACCAGATACATATATTTATAAATATTACCAGCAGTGTTTTTGGGTGAATCCTTCTCAATCCTCTCCTCTTTGCCACTGACAGTGAATTGTTTCTGTCTTTTGTCCTCAGCTGAGAGTGTGCATCTCCAGGTGCTTTGCATCAGGCTCATTATATACGTGACTCTTTGCTGTTCTTTGAGCCACATCTCTAGTGGAACCACAGATTTTAGGCTCCCTGTGACCACCTGCTGGACTGGAGCCAGATTTAGAATTTGCCCTTCACTGGTGCCCTTCACTGTTTTGATCTGATATCATTATCCTTATTTTAATATTGACTTTCGTCTCGACACATATTATACTAGTTGGGTTCAGCTTTGATGCTCACTCTCAGGCATTTGGGAAAGCCTCTGAGGCTGCAACGAATGATTATTTATATTATCAATTAAACCGCAGAGTATTTTCTAGATGAATCGAATTATCATTTGGTCTATAAAATGACAGAAAATTGTGTAAAATAGTAATATCCCAGTTTGTTACAAGGTGATGCATTGAAATGTCTTGTTTTGTCAGTCCAAAACCTAAAAACATTCAATTTAATGTTATATCAAATAGGAAATCAGGAAATCTCCATGTTTGAGAAGCATTTCTGCGAGAAAAAGAAATTAGACAATTAAACAATTATCAGAATATTAACCGTCTTTTTTCTGTCAGATTATCTCCACGCCATTGTCCTGATGTAACGATCACTCTCTGTTTTCAGGTCATTCCCACCAAGGACAGAAAAGAGGGAATGGATGCCTTCATTGAAAAGAGACCCCCGCGGTACACTGGGCAATAAACCTTTTGGACATATGGAAATGTCTCCCTCCATCACTCAGCGCTCCTCCATAACCTCATGTCTGATAGACAATTAACGCCCATTGATTTTTTTCTGTGTGCATCCCAGACAGTATCAATACATTAGATAAGGTCAACATTAGCGGCAAGTGTTTGATTTTGTGACTCATGAGAGCGACATAGGGATATTTCTATTTGATCAGAGAAAAAGTAGTTTTATACTGTTTATTCACCCATATATCCATATTTGTTTGTCACATTTTTTTAAAATAAATTAACACAAATATCATCTCTAGTTTATGGGAATGTACATTCTTTATTTCCAACTTGAAAACGAGACTCTCAGCAGCAACATGGCAGTCACAGCAGACATACCGCATCGGGACTTTTTGTATCTCTCATCCGAATTAAACTCTTATGAAAAATGAAACTGGCCTTCATTCAATGTGATGTTCAGAGGCAACAATCAAACCCATCCGGAGCAACAGAAAACAAACAAATTATCATCTGCTGCTCTTTGTCCTTGATGAAGCTGTGAGATCAGCTCAGGACACACCATATTTAGCAAGCTCTCACAACATCAACTGATTTACAGAAACAATAAGGCCATTTCTCACTAAGCAGATGAGGTGATGTTTGTTTTGCTGATAGATGTTTTAGAGTACCATTAGCAGCCCAATATTATCTTTATTACCATTAACATTAATTATTTATATAAATCTTGTAACCCATCTCTGTTGTTCCTGATGAAGTCAAATTCCACTCTGCCTAAAAAATGTTGTGTCAGGGGTTTGGCATTATTTTGAATAAGCAATAATTAGCAAACAAAAGGTCTGCAACTAATGAGATTTGCATTGATTTATCCGCCGTTTATTTCCAAGAATAATTGATCAATTTAGACAATTTTCAGATTTTTTTATAGACCAAAGTCTGAGGGAACTTAAGGCGTAGTGTTTGTCCTATTTAGTTTCCCCTTCTGGGTTTTTGTATAAAGTGTACGCACGCCTGGGATATGCACAGTCTCCAAATGTAAAGTTATTGCAGTCCTTATCCCAAAGATAGTTAGTTTAAGAAGATATCAAATGGAAAAACATTTCAACTTTTGAGTGATTGAAAAGTGTTTGCTGCCAGTATGCAAATTAATCAAAATATTAATTTGTTGTCAAAATGGTTGCTGCTTATTTTTTTCTGTAAATCGCCACATCATTGCAGCCCAGATGGAAAATAAGGATGGGACATTAATGAGAACCAAGACCTTATCTAGACAGCAGAAGTGCTAAATTGGCATTCTGGAGGATACTTAAGTCATTTCAGAACAGAAAAACATTTCCGATAACTCCCAGTTTTTTCCTTATTTGTTTTCTTTGTTCTTAAACATCATTTTCAGATAAACAGTCCGGAACATTCAGTATAATAATTTCCATGCAACCAATTCAACCTCTCCTGAACAAACAATTACCATTTCTCTCATTTTCTATTATGTACAAATTAAATACACTCTTTAAGATGCAGCTAGTTGTACGGATGTACATACACACATGCTCACACTGAAGTGCTGTCTGTGTTTAACACGCAATGGAAAGCACAGCGAACATATCAATATATATATATACACAGGAGTTTCTCAAAAAAAGACAACGGCCATGACTCAATACACATCCACCATGAATATACTGACCACATCTTTATTGCCATTTGTTGTCAGAGAGGACCCTGGTTAGCAGACACAATGATGGTATACATTTAACTCTGGATCTTCTGATTTACAGCACGACTGGTTTGCAACTGGTATGTCTGATTTAGGAGCTGCCAAAAGTTTAGGACAAATATTTACTGGAGATTCTTCAAGAGATACAACTTCTTTACAAGGTTAAGTTTGAAACTTTTGAACCCACTGAAAACACTCTAGGCAAGTGTCCTGTCACATTCAATCAAATGCATTAGCTGACAAAAGACTAAATAAAGAAGTGAGCAACAGCAGTACTCAGGAGCTGTAGGCATTGGGTTTCAGTGAACGCAGCACTGCTATAAACAAACAAGCAGGCATTCCAAAAACGAACAGTACCAGCATTCAGACAAACTCCAGCATGCTTGTGCTCACAGCAGCGCCATGCGTATATCTAATGAGCTAAAAACGACCAAGTCAGACAACCAGAGCCTTCAGTAACGTACAGCAGCCGGAGGGTGTTACCCTCAGCTGAGCTTTCAGGGGTTCAAACTCAAACTGAGATTTGTACATGAGCACTGAATGTTTTTTTGGCATTATATTCATCATGATTCACAATGAACAGCGAGCACAGACACAAACCTCAGGATGAGATTTTAAGCTTTACTGACCAATAGTTCTCATAGTTATCACTGTTAGTCACAAGATTAACACACACAGAGATTCTTTTGTTTTGAGACAAACACAGAAAATAAATAATGTTAGTGTGTGTGCAAATAATTGTCTAGCGTTTGTCCTTTAATGTTTCCTTTCTCTGGGCTCGTGATAAAGTGTGTTTGTGCTTGGGATATGCGCACAGGCATACACGATTCCTCTCATGGGACCCAGCTTATATCCAGAACTTGGTCAGGGAGCCTCATTTTCTGAAAGAGAAATTTAAAAGAATGAAAAACCGCCATCCATTGTATTACTGATCTGGCGAATGAACATTAGTGTGAGTGTTTACCTTTGTGAGGTTACTGTGGCGGCGGGCGGCGACTGGTGTGTGTGTGTACCGGCTGTCCGGTGCGCGCTCTGTGGCGCTGCAGGCTCTCCAGAATGCTCTTAGCCAGCAGCTGGACATCTTTGTGGGTCTGTGGGTGTGTGTTCACCAGCTCCAGCTGCTGCAGGCCGCCCTCCTCCAACAACATGCTACAGTAGCGAGCGGCTGCAGAGACACAGGGTGAAAACAACATTACATCCTTAAGCCATTGTAAGTTACTGCCTAAAGAGACGTCAGTGTTTTATTTGTGAATGAACTCATTTATGAGAACAATAGGTTCTGTATGTGTCTCACCGTTCTTGCTGCAGACATGCTGCATGGCCCAGGCCGCCCACAGCTGGACCCCGGGGGTGTGAAAGCACTCCAGGAGGGGAAAGAAGGGGTTAAATGACCTAAAGAAAGAGAGATAATAAGAATATATTTAGTATGTACTCTATATAGCATGTTTAGGTTTAGGCTATAGATAGTTAAAGAAAAGTATGTTCAGACACAAATTAAAAAGTAGTAGGATGAAACCTTCTCTTTTGGCGCTACTTTAAAATAGATTTTTCAGCATTGTATGAAAATAAACTTGAAAGCTTTAGCAAGTAATATATCCTTTGGTAATTTCAAGTTCTTTTTTTGCTTTATTATGACTGTTGAGAAGCTGCATCTCACCTGTAGGCCACCATCTCACACTCAGGCGCGGGCCACTTCATGATGACATTATGCTGGAGAGATACAAATGTAAACAGTCAAACAAACGGTTCAAAATAACTGCAGTATTTATTACGAATGTTTTGCAGATTCCTACCAGCTGCTCCAGCAGGGAGGATCGGAGCTCGGCACTGAGCGTCCAGGTTACCTCTCCTCGAGACATCAGATGTGCGAGGATGCCCGCGGCAAAGTAGCTGACCTCCACCTCGGAGCTGTGCAGCAGCGTGCTGATGTGGTCCAGGAAGCTCTGCACCATCAGCTCTACGTGCAGCTCCCCCACCTCGGCTATGTTGTTCTACACAACAAATGGAGAAAAGGCGATAATGATGTTATAATATTGTAAATTAATTAAGTCTTCAGTTTTTCTTAAGGCTAGTAGAGCAGTTCACTCACCAGCAGGCCGAGAACCTTCTGCTGAATAGAGGACTCGTTGGGGAAGGACTGCAGAGTGGGGGGGAGGGGAGGTAAAGGAGCAAAACAACAGTGAGTCAATCCCCCTGAAGGTATATGTGCTGCTACATAACAACATGTGATTAATTAGCATGATAATTTGCTCTAAGTCTCTCTACTGCTTATTTACATGTTGATATTTCTGTGTACCTCTAAAACTTTAATGAACAGGTCCAGGCCCTGGTTCTCAATAAAATGGCGGCAGGTCGTCGGCGATTCATCGGTGAGGTTCCACAGAGCGCTCAGTGTGAATTTGAGGGTGGCGTCCACCACGCCCTGAGTGGCCTTCTGACGCACGATGTGGAGCAGTTGCTGCGGGCAGGATGGGAGCATTATTAGCAATGAAATGTGAATGTTTTGGTAAATTAGCAACAGTGAAAGAGAACAGAGCCAAAGTGAGAAACCTTACCTTCACTATGAACAGCTCTGCTCCCAGCTGAGCCGTCTGCTCTGTGGACAACTGGGAGAAGCAAACGTCGAGGAGTTTAATAATAACTTGTGTAATCAATTCATTAATTACAGCAGAAGTTGCACAACATTTACCTTGGCAGCGAGTATGGAAATGATAGCCACAGCCATCCTCTGCATGTTCTGGTCCTCATGGTTGCAGAGCCACTGCATCACTAGCTTGGCAGCTTCAAACCTTGCAAAGAAGAGGAAGACATATTATTAACACAAGATATGTTTTTTTATGACAAGTTTAAGACTTCACTTATTGCTTTAAAGGTGGGGTAGGTAATTTTGGAGAAACCAGCTCGAGTGCGCTAGAATTTGAAAATACACAACCGGAAAAAATCTGCCACTTCCTTACAGAGCCCCTCCTCCAACACACACGAACGCGCACATGACCAATGAGGGCACGAGATAAGTTTGTGCACAGATGGAAGGCTGACAGGCAGATAGGCCATCCAGTCATTTTAGCCGGGCCGGCTAAAATGATTGGTCGTAGTTTTTACAGTACTACGGCTTCCACAGATGACATTTTTTTATGGATTTTGTTGTCAAAGCACTTAAGATATTCATTGCTATCGGGATGTTAAGAGCATTCCATGGAATATAACAAAAAGTGTATCTCGAGCCGGTTTCTCAAACTTACCTACCCCACCTTTAACTGACAGACATTTATTGTTTATTTAATAGATTTATTATTTATAGTACATGATATCTGTATGTTAAAATGAGATTCAAATATGAAGTAAGAAAGGTATTTCTCACCTGTTGAATGGAACTTCCTGCAAAATGCGGTCACTGCACAGAGACAGCAGGCAATTCTTCTGGAGCTGATGACAGAGAAACCAAAACAGATATCAGACCAAAACCTGAACAACAAGCAAAACTTTTACAATCAGCTGTTACAATATATTGAATATAATTATAGTAGATTGTGCTCAACAGTGCATAAACATAAGTGACTTATAGGAATAGCAAATTCAGGAAAAATAATTTAGAAATCAAATCAATTGTAAAGGGGAAAACTGTTATTGACTAGTTGTACCGAAGCAGATACAATTGTATATAGATTTAGAACTTGATTGGTTTGTCCAACATTGATGGGAACTGGTGACATGTCACACAAACATATTTAATCGTGATAATTTCCTGTCCTTGTGAGCCGAATCAAGTTCACCAAACGAAATGCAGCAAAATGCGGTCATGTTTGTTTTGACAAACTGCGGCACCCATGAAGAATGCCAGAGGGACAGCATGGAGCTACCTGTTGGTGGTTGGGGAACGTCCTCATGGCCTCCAGCAGAAGCTGAGTGACGGTGCTCAGCAGTCGCACTGGCATCCCTGCAGCCAGGTCCTGCTTCGTCAGGTTGAACACACAGGCACTGGCTGCCAGCTGGACGTTCAGAGTGGCAGGGTGGTTCTTCATCCCCAAAACCACCAGCTAGAGGAAAACAAGAGAATATTATGTTCAGTGATGAGGAAAATATGATGGGGTGTAGACCTTAAACTCTCTAGGAGGACATTTGAAACTCATCACATACAAATTATTTGGTTCAGATTTGACATTGTATCTTAAGGATGACAAAAGATATACTGTGGTAATTTACTCAGCTTTCTTAGAGAAAAGGCAAGAGCTAGAATTACTACTTTAGGATGGTATGCCTCTGCTTACCAAGTTTTAGTTTACATGTCTGTTTAAAATCTGCAAAAGTACAATAATGTGGGTTCACCTTAAGGATGTCAGGCCTGGGTTTCTCCATCACATGGGTCAGGCTGAACAGATGAAACAGAGCTTCCCTCACAAACCCTTCTCTCTCACTGTAGCGCCGCAGGGCCTCACAGATCTGGGTCTCGTAGGCTTCTCCTGTTACCTGTTGCATACAAAGTTTACTTTAGCAAACCTGATTTCTTTTGCACCATGGTTTCAATGATATAACACATCTGTACTATACCTTTAGATTTCCATCACCAGAGAGGAACTCAGAGAATCCAGCATCTGTGGCCAGAAGTCCCACAAAGGTCATCCCTGGTCTCTCCTCAACAAATGCCTTGACAGCTGCATCCGTCACCTGCAAAGTTGACATAAGAAATGACCACATAGCTCTATAGCCTGTATGTTTTCTTTACAATCTAAATTAGATAAATATAAACACACACACCTGTTTCCTCCCTGACACATCCAGGGAAACTAGAGCGGGGAGGATCCCTGGCTGTCCAAGCAGTTGTCGAGCCACATCAGAAGTGAACTGCTTATCATCACTGATGTCCAGGTGCTACACAAACACACAAAATAATATTACCATTGCGATTCATCCTGATTATCATCAAATTATGATTACAAATCTTATAATGGGACTAAAACATACTAGGATAACATCAATGGAATTTTGCTAAGAAACAAAGGTTTTATTGCATTACAGATAGGGAATGTTTTTTCTGTAAACATAATTTTTTGTTAAAAACAAACAACACCAATCAAAGCATACGGTCCCCCAGCACAAATGAAAGTTAAATCATATTTCAAAAATACCAAAATTGTTAGAGTCTGTTCTTTTGTACATACACATTTCTGTATTTTGTAAAATCTGATTGATGGTGTAGGATTCGTGATAAAGTCCTATATAGTCAAATCCCTATATGTTGTGGTTGAAATCACAAAAAAAAGTGTTCTTCTTTGCACAAAACAAAACAAATCGAAGTCCAAAATACAGCTCCCTCCTTCCACTCACCTGCAATACATTCAGCTGTCCGATGACTCCCAGCAGCTGAGCCGTGCTCATCTCCAGCCTCTTCAGCTGGTGCAGCGTCAGAGAGCGCAGCCGCTCCTTCAGGCCCAGCAGGGGGGTCAGGTTGGTCACTGACGTGTTGGACAGATCCAGGCTCTCCAGCCGAGGCAGGGAACACACGTCCACCAGCCCAGAGTCATAGAAGTCCACGTTGGCAAGAGAAAGGGAGCGGAGACCCGGGAGGGAGCTAAAGCGGTACCGACTGGGTTCCTCCAGAGAGGACATGGTGAGACCTGTGAGGACAAGTCGCTGGAGGGACTCCTGCAGGATGATTGAGAGAGGAAGCCAAAGCATAGGATTACATTATTTCAATATCAAGGGAGCAGAGGGTGGTTTGACAACATGTCATCTTTTTGTACAAGTTGATATTTTATCCCTCTACCTGACAGAATTTATTGGTGGCCAGTCCTTGTAGAATATCAGGAATCGTGAGGTCTGCATTGACCCTGGCAGCATCCAGCTCCAGCAGTCTGTGAGGGCAGAGGGCTTTCTGAAAAGCCTCGGCAGAGATACGCGCTGTGCGGATGCAGGCCCGTCTCAGCCGCAGGTATTCACAGTTACGAAATACCCCCGCTGTGCTGTCATTCAACAGACCTGCAGTGGAAAGAACTCGGGTTGAGTTTAATCTTTGGAATGAGGACCAAGCCTTGCACAATACTGTCTTTGTTTACCAACCGCAGTGATTAGGTCAAGGTGACAACATACCAAAAGGTTTTGTACTTTTTGAAGGTAAACAAGAAGCTTTAGTAAGTCACCCAGGAGAAGCATAAAAGTTATCCTTTTTTTTCAATGAAGTATTTTTTTCAGTTCTTGTTGTTATTGAAGGGTTCAACAGATGATTTAGAGTGTGAAAATGAAGATATAAATATTTACTGTAGTGGTTTTGTTGGTTTAGAAATTACCAACACTGTTTGTGTGCTCAGAGTCTTTCCTCTTAATATGACACAGTAAGAATACATTTCAAATGGCTTTATGTTATAAGCAATGCTGTTTTTCATTAGGTCAAATATCGAATGTATGTTTTATTAAGTGCAACACAAAGTTAGCCCTGATAAGTTACTTTCAATTGTTATACCAGGTCTCCCTGTAAAAGAGATTGTTGATCGCAATGGGATTTTTACCTGGATAAATAAAGGCTACAAACTAACAATATCAAGAGACACATAAGCCTTGGGAACATATTGATGATCCCCCTCTAAAAAAAGGTCCATGTTTACCTTCAGTGGCCATCTTGGCCAGCAGCTGGTCTGCCAGCTCCTGTGGGAAGAAGACAGCCTCTCTGAAGCACAGGGAGCCATCAGGGCGCTTCACACAGAAACACTCCAGGTTTTGGCTCACATGAGTCAGGCAAAGATCTGTCAGAGCCGGAGGAGAAGCCTCATCCTGAAACATGAAGAGGATGCTTGTTGATGCAGACGCATTCAAATCAAATCAAACTTTATTTATAAAGAACTTTTCAAACACAAAAGGTAACTCAAAGTGCTTCACCAACCAAACACAGTAAATTGAAATAATAAAAAAATAAAAACAATACTATCTCCTCCTTCCCTGGTATAACCAGAGTAACACATAGTTTTGTGACTAAAAAGAACACCAACGCAGAATACAATTTAGAATACATAAAAAATATAATGTAATTCAGTAAAAAGCCTAATTAAAAAAGTGCAATTCAATGTCATTTGCAAAAGTAGCGACTGTACAATAATACCGAAGGTTCAACAGGACCTACCGTGTCTAGGAAACTATAGGCCATGGCTTTAAAAACTCTATATATTAGCTTATGAGACCGACTGGTTTCTTTCCACGACGGGAAAAATAAAGCTGTGCAATCAAACAGCTGCGCCTTTATCCGTGTTGGTCTGCAATGTTAAACTGCATGAGAGCCTGACGTTATCTTAACACTGTTGACAAAATACAACAGTAACTATGGAAAGAGAGCCCGGACGATCGTTAGCGGAGAGCCAGCTAGCTAGCTAACTTGTTGTCGCCTCCTTTTTGGTAAATCGCTCTCCGTACAACAATTTCGAATGCTGTCTGCAGTGACGGAATTCATGTTAAAATTAAAAATGGACTTTCCACTGTTGCGGCTGAAGCTCTAAATGAAATACTCAAAATGGCAATATGGTTTTGACAGCCGGTAGTTAGGTCTATTTTTGACGAGAAGACCAGTAAACAAAAGGTCACTGCTCTGGAAGTACATTTGCGAAGGGGCTGGACTACGGAAGCCCGTTGGGTTTGGTTTCAGCGTATGGAACCAGGAAGAGAGAGAGATCATCAGGAGATCGAGACACGCATGGTCATGTTTTTCTTCTGTTTTCAATAGAAAACCGTTTTAAAAACCATTGCAGCACAATTATATAACGATCGTGTGTTTAACGGTGTTCAACTCTATTGACGTGTTTGTTGTTTTAAGTAAACGCTTTTGTAACACAGCTCAGTAACTCACTGACCAAGGTCACTAGTACCAGTGGAGTGGATGTAGTGGGAGATAAGCCTTAATCAGCCCATGCGATTATAGTAAGGTTAAAAGAAACACACGTGCTGTAAATATGGCTGGACTTGTAAACTTTGAAGATGAGAATGAAGTGAAGGAGTTTTTGGACAATTTGGGAATGGAGTACAGCTTCCAATGCTATAAAGAAAAGGATCCTGAAGGTAAAATTGTCTATTCAGATTAATGGTGCTGTTTGTTCCTGTAGACATCTGTATTGTGTAAGTTGTCTTTGTGTTTGTATCAGTGGTATTTCTTGGTGTATGATTCATTTGCGGTTGTTTTGGAATTACATTTGGAACAAAACCTCCCTTGGACAGGTTTTATAGCAATATCCATTGTTTTTAAAGGCACTGGACACCAGCGATTGAAATGTAATATGTTTAAGGGATGTTGGACTAATTTATCCTTTTTCCATGTTCTTTGAAGGGTGCGAAAGGCTTGCAGACTACATGGAAGGTGTGAAGAAAAACTATGAATCTGCAGCACAGGTGCTCAAACAAAACTGTGAAACAAATGGACACGGGGACAGCTGCTATAAACTAGGAGCTTACCATATAACGGGCAAAGGTAAAGTAGAAATGTGGCTTAATTTTACCTTATTTTACCCTATCCGATGTGGTGTGTTACACACGTTTTATAGGACTATTACTATGGCATTAAGAATTTAAGAAAATTAACTATGAACTTTAAAACTTCAATTTAAGTTGCCTTTTTGCATTGCTAGACAACATTTTACAAACATTTTTTTAAATAAAATATAATGCTTTCTTGGCAATTCAACAGCTCAGGTAGGCTAATAGCATTTGAGTAATAGGAGTGTTCATGTTAATGAATCAATATTAAATCCTTCCAATTTTGAAACTTGATTACTTCTAATGTAGTCATTTAATAATGTGTCTGCTTTTATTGAGGGATTTATATTCTACCCTACAGGTGGAGTGACCAAGTGTCTGAAATCAGCCTATTCCTGCTTTTTGCGTTCCTGCAATTCCAATGGAAAGAAGTCCATAGATGCCTGCCACAACGTTGGCCTGCTAGTCCAAGATGGACGTGTTGGTGAAGAAGGACCCAACCTGACATTAGCTCGGCAGTACTACGAGAAGGCCTGCACTGGTGGCTATGCTCCTTCCTGCTTCAACCTCAGTACTATGTTCATTAAGGGCAATACCAAAGGATTGCCAACAGATATGAAGCAAGCTTTGAATTATTCTAACAGAGCTTGTGAGCTGGGACATGTGTGGGCTTGCGTCAATGCAAGTCGTATGTACAAACTTGGGCATGGGACTGAGAAGGATGGCAAGAAAGCAGAGGAGCTTAAGAATCGAGCAAAGGAGCTGCATGGTTCAGATAAGGAAAGGCAGCTCAAATTTGGGGAATGATTATGACACTTTATTAAATTATCATTGTTTTGGTTTTCCTATATCTGTGGTGTAAAGTCAGGTTGATTATGTAGATAAGTATGTGGGCAAAAACATGCTCAAAGATAGGAGATATGTTGTTTTAAAAAAGATGAATGTGTTTGCCTCATTTGGAGTGTGTAGACTGTCGCAACCAGAGAGCAGTATGGACCTGACAGTTTGAAGTGGTAGATTTCAGCCAAATGTAAAAATGGTGTAAATGATAAAGCAATAAAATAAACTGGATTCATAAACCATAGTTGATTATTAATAATGATTATGATTTGGAGTATAGAGTATGAAAACACATTTAAAGGGTTAAAGGGCAGTTTGAGCATTATACTCTCATCAGATCAGCATCAGATAGCTAAAATCAGCCCAGATAATATTTAAAAAAATGTGTTACAATTTACAGTTACAATGTCAAGGATAATTTTACTTAATATTTGTTTACATCTTTAAAATAGGTCAATTATTAACACTTGCAAACCAACGCTGTTAACTAATGAAGACCATATGATAGTTTCTTAATAAAATTAAGATAAAACAGCATTTATGATGATGTATAGGAGGTAATGAAGAGTTTCTAAAGATCAAAATAATATTTGTGGAGCTGAAATCTGCTATCATGTTTTTGTACCTGCAATACTTTTTAATGTTTGATTTTAAAGTTACCCATAAGTATTTGGACAAGATTGCATTTTTTGTAACCCAATGGATTTTTAAAAACTAATTACAAAACATTTCTATTCAATAACTGACAGTATCTAAAAGTAATCTGATATTTTCCCTGTTATTAGAATGAGTTTGCTACATCATTTGAACATGAACATGGCTGCATCAACTTTTAAATCTCCATTGTAACGATGATAGACAATATTTTATTTAAACATTTAAAACATTATTTTGATTGTAGAATTGTTAGTAACAGGTGGACATTGTCCTAAAACCCTATGAAATAATTGATGCTTTTCACTATCACTGGTAGGCACACCGGTGGTCAGACCATAGACTGGCTCAGACCCATAGACTGTATATATAAAGGTCAGACCACAAGAGGGAGTCAAAATCCAAGACATGAACTTTGCGCCCTTTTTTAAATCTCACAGGGCGCTTTATCCTAAAGACCCCACAAAAGGCACCGCACCGGGTATGCTTCTACCATTTGTCAACATTTTAACCGACACCGTATCAGCAACCTGTAGAGAATGCAGACGCTGACAATAAGTGTGTATCTATAAAGAAGTAAACTAGACCGATGTGTGTTGATGATGGGCGGACTGCTCAGAGCTCAGCTAGCTCCGCCCGTTAGCGTCTCCTCAGCCCTCATTCAAAACAGAACACAGCTGTTGCGAGGCGCATCGTCGTGTCCTGGTCGTTAGCCTAAAAACTGATAGCTGCTGTCTGCTGCTGTGTGTTTCTGATGTACCAACTGGAATACCAGAAGGACAAGAAAGACAGGGACGTACTTCGGTGAGTTATAGAACAGTAAGAGGGAAAGTTTTGTATCGCCATCATTTACAAAATCCCCCCAACCGTCGAGGTGGCTAGCTAACGTAAGGTTAAGCCCCACCAACGGTTTGGATGTGTTTGTTTTTATATGGAGGATGCTCCGTTATCAAAGTACATCCATCAATAGGCGGGGACAAGGAGATGCGAGAGAAAAGATAAAACGTGTGGTTTTTAAAAGGCTGACTCTCTGTAGTGGGGTGCAGAGGTTTATTTTAGCCAGCTATTTATCTTTCTCCTCTACCCACGTGAAGGCACGGTCGCCCCACCACACTCTGAGAGGCATCACCGGAGGAGTTTGATATAATGCTAATAATAAATCATGCGCTCCCTCACCACGCTCAGTTGGCTAACGAATCAAGCTAGCCGGAATTGCAGCATGCTAATGTTGAAACCTCTGACAAAATAGTGATGAGAGTCAGTGAGTTAGCAATTTGTGATTCCCCCCCCTGTGCAGTCTTACTTTGTTTACTTAAGTCGCTACACAGTTCGCTTCTTGTTGGGGAGACGGGGGGTCTTTATCTGCCGTTTGTGCTGTTAGCCAAACAACCATACCTACTGCAGAAGCTCTGCCCTGGATAGCTCTTTGGTTGTGAACCCCTGCACAGCTACCCTCCTGGGAGTGCTTTGGGTGTGGCGTGGGTTCACCCACGAACAATACTGTGCTGCTATCTTGTCTTAGCCGAAGCGTGTCGGTTTAAGAATGAGCACTTGGGATCCGTCGTGAGGGTATTTTGAGTTGGGTAAAGGAATGGCCAACAGTTCCTTACCTCGACTCTGTGAAATTAAAGTTAAATGAATTAAGATGTTGGAGCACAAGCTAGAGAGGTTCCTCCAAAGTTCAGCTGGTGGGTGTTTTTCTCAAGTAAAGCACCTGTATATCTCTCAACAACACTAAGGATCAGCAAGCTGTTTTACATTTGTCTGATTACTGCTCACCACTATTCATGTAATCACATGTATTGATAAATAATGTAATATCAGGATAGATAAGTGAGCATTTATCAACCATGATCAATGTCATGAATCTGTGACCATGGTGTTTTTTTTTTTTAACAGTGGTCACTGGTCAGTGTACCATATTCCGTATCTGTCTGTCTGTATGGCTTAAACTTTGTTAGCTGTCTAAACAAACTTAATATAATCTGTCTTTGTTTTCCTCAATGTGTGTGCAGTCATGAATATCCACAGATATGTTCATGTATTGGGAGCAAACGCACACAAGCTCTATTAGCTGTCAAGCTGAATTAGTATTAATCTGAATTCACGTCTTTTTTACTATTAGGATGCCTTTTTTCTTTATCAAAGCCTCCCTTTTCTCAAACCTCCTATCTAACACACTCTTTGTTACTGTCCTGTGTGACGTTGCTGTTGCTCGCCCTTCGCTCCCCATTTTAAAGGACTCTAAGGAATGTTCCATATCGATATTTAGTATGGTTGTGTGGAGCTGCTGTTCTCAACACTTAACATATGACCCAGAGGTTACTGGCTCAGACTCATGACTGGCATGCCTTTACAGTGCTGCGGTGTCGTGTTATGCTGTGAAGACCGAAACAATCTAATTTGGCTTCCGTAGTATTTTAAACAGTAATATAGATCCACAATCTATTCATTCGATAAGAGGATAATTGCTCTAATGCTAGTTCTAAAAGCATTGTTTGATTGAATGGTAAAATAAAACTTGTTGAGACCAAAAAGGGGGATGAAATATTATTATTATTTTTTAATTATATATACTGCATTGTCTTGTTTATGTTTCTTACGCTGGTGTTATGTATTGTGTATCTTGTTTTTTGTGTGTTTGTACGGCGACCTTGAAAGGCGCCTATATAAAATAAATGAATTATTATTTCCAAATACAGGAGAACTTTTTTGAAAAAAAGGAATCTGAATGAAATTCCTTTTTGGTTTTGAAAATTGTTAAGGACTTTCACCAGTGAAAGTTCCACCTACCCGACAGCGATTAGTGAGTTCAAAGGGTACATCTGAAATGTTTACTGAAGAAGTCTTAGTAGTAGGGCTTAGGTTTTAATCCAATTGAATATGGTAGACTCAGTATTGTATACTATCCAGCATGGAGATTTGCACTCGTTTTCTTAAGCAGCCCATTTAAGTCCCATTTGTAAACATATTTGCAAATTCTGCATTGCATTATCATCGTGTGTTTTGGGGATTATTTAGTTTTGTCTATGTAAACAAGAAGCCTCACGTTGCATATCTGTTGCTTGCCAACAGAAACAGTGTGAGTGCCCGGAGGATATGCCGAAGCACCCTTGAGTTAGAGTGCTGTTCTTATTTTCGGTTACATAACTTTAGTGTTGCATATTATTATCTATGGCTATGGGTTTGCATGGATGTAAGCCAACAGTCCTTAATTGAAACATTTGGTCTTGCTGTAAATTACTGTAACGGGAGGGAGAAAAACATTTGGTGGATATACCTTCAAAGATTCAATTACAGGTTTCCAATTTTTATTATTTTATCTGCTTCGTTAAACGTCAACTTCATTTCACTTTCTAGAAACGGTTCCTCTGTATCTCTACATACTACCTCCACCTTCTGAGCTAGGCTAATCCCATGGATGCCTCGTGCACATGGGCCCATCTGGTCAGCAGTGTGGTATGGCTGCTCGGTCCAAGGCTTGCAAATGTGATTAGTTGGAGATTACATCTGTTTGTGTGAAATGAAACTCCCCTTTCAGAATCAGAGCTGTGTGTTTACATGAGAAAGGGATAAAACATTGTAGGGCTTTTGCGTCATCAAGTTCAATCTCTGGTCTGTCTCAGGTTATGTTTCTCAGCCCTGCATTGCATCACCACACAGTTTATATGAACAGTTCCTAGACGAGTCCGTAGCAATTTATACTGTTTACTAGGGTTGGGAACCGAAACTCGGTAAAAGATGAGAACCGATAAGAAAATGCCGGGTACCGGGTACCCATCCAAAATACACAATTTCGGTTCTGCTTAACGGTTCCTAAACGCGGTAGACCCTGTATTCCACCGGGTCCGTCTGCGCCGCGGTGACCCCGTGGAATACAGGGTAAGGGCGGACTGGAGAATCACAGAATGGCCGGTCGTCAGCGGGCCGTTGACGGCCGGCTCGGTACGCTGATGGCCGGCACCACCCTTAATTTTTTTAAACTGTATCATGTAAGTTGCGCTGACAGGCGACAGAAGTCCACAGTTGCCCCGCAGCGAGGCTCCCCCCGCCCTCCCGTAGACAGTTCACGAGCTCAGTCACTTCATAACACCAACTCAGTAAACGCTCTAAAGTGAGGCTCCACTACACTAAAAAATAAAAAGACAAGGCACAGTGTAATGCCTGTTAATAGCTTGCCACAGGCATAGCTCAGTTAAATAAAGCACAGCTATTGTGCAATACATTTGTATTGCATGTATATTTTTTATTTGCAAAAATGTCAGTTAAAGCTTAAAAGAATAAAGATATTTTTGTTATCTAAACGTTTGACCTCTTTCTTTTACAATTTTGGAATCGAAACGGGGAATCGATGAACAGAACCGGAATCGATACATTTCAAACGATACCCATCCCTACTGTTTACTGCATCTTGCGGTTTGATATCCCTTCTGAGTGAATAAGCAGTCATCTTCTCTCCTTCTTCTGAGTGCTATACATATTCTAAAGGCGCTGTGGGATCCATCAAGCTTTTACTCTGCGTGACCTCCAACCAGTGCTGTTTCTCAGTTGCCAGGGTAACTTTATGTCAGTGTCTGGCACATCGATTCAGCACAGATGGAACTGCAAAGTCACATGTCGTCACACCTTTTCCTCTGATGCCTCCCCAGCCTTGGCTCTGTCACTACAAGTGCAAATACAAAGCTAGTTATCTGTGTTCATTTTCTGCTGTTTTCATGTCGACTCCACAACGTTGTCCAACTTCTCTGTTGCTATTAGGAGTAAATCTAAAAGGTCTCTCTGCTTGACAAGTTGTTTTGGAACCCTGATAATGATATTGTGTGTATGATAAAGACTTTTTATATATGAGGTGTTTCTAATGTTGCTGGCAGTCGGGTGAAGTGGGTGTTGTAGATGTGAGCTTGGCTAGCACCCGACTAGTGTGCGTACGTGTGAGAAGGAAGATAAAAGGTCAAGAAAATCCATGTTCTGCCTTTCACTACTGCATCAGGCAGACACTACGTTTCACTGAGTAGGTTGAGCAATGTGCCTTTTTTGTTGTTGGTATAAACAGCATTTGAGGAAGTATTGCAAAACGGCCTCTTCTTTTTGTTGGGAGTGCAGTTGCCATGTGGTTCCTGCTGTGTTGTAATCACAGCTCTTGTTTAGGAGAAGTAGAGGCCAACAGAGAAGCCGGACACAGACAATGTAAAAGCAGAGCCATACACAGGGTTCGCTCGTGACTTTGGGCTGAATCTCTCTCACACAGACACAAACACACCCTGCTAAATGCACACCACAATAGGCTGAGCGGCAGCAGGAGGCCCCAAGCTTTGAGAACATTTGAGCATGAATTTAACCACTGATGGGAGTGGCTCACACATGAAGGGCTCCTCGAGAGAGTGGACAACTTTGTCTCCCTTTGGCCTCTCTAGTTCCTATGCTTCTCCTTTGTGTTACTTCACTCTGTTTCTTTTTCATGTTGCTTTCTTGTCGTGAGTGGGATCTAATGCTATTTTTAGTCCTCACTTGTCAGCCTAAGATTCAGTCTGTGTAGGCAATTTAAGTATTAGGCAATATGCCTCACAACGCTCTGACATATATTACATTTACCAACCCACAAACCTCTACTTCCTCTTTTCTCCTTCCGTCCCTCCCATTTTTTTGCCCTCTAGGGACTTTTCTAAGTATGTCTCATTTGAGCTCACTGATGCAAATACGGTTAAAAAACTAACTTCTTTGTACGGTTTATTTCCCACATAAGATACAAGGCGTCTATGAATCTACGAAAGTAAAAACCTGGCCTATCAGTCAAACATTATTTA